CCTAAAAAGAAACAACCTGTTCTTTTTTTTTTTTTTTTTTTTAAACCTAAGGTAGAAGTCTAAAGAAGCAGAGAAAGGAAAAAAGGATTTCTGTTTGTGAGCAGATTTTTTTTTTTTTTTAAGCTTGTAGAACACTAAACCAAACCCATTGGCCATCAAGGCAGTTCCAACTTACAGCGACTCTATAGGACAGAGTAGAACTACCCCGTCGGGTTTCCAAGGCTGTAAATCTTTACGGAAGCAGACTGCCACATCTTTCTCCTGAGGCTTGTGGGTTCGAACTGCTGACATTTCAGAGGAGTGCTAAACCACTGCCCCACCAGGGCTCCTTTGGAGAACACTGAGTAAATTTAAGAAATATATTAGAATCTCCATTTTGAGGGAAGCTAGTTAGAAGCTGATGAAATAGTGTATTTGTTTTTTGTTTCTTGAGAAAGGGTCTGAATGTAGAAGAACTGACATTTTCTTTAAATCCCTCAACCTAATAGAATAATAGTTTTGTATGTACTCAGCTAAACCTCAGCCTACATCCGTCCATTCAACTGTAAAGGTTCGTGTTGTTTTTGTTTTTTTAAGACTTTATTCTAAACTTTGCTGTGGATATTTGTCAAAGGTTGTGATGCAGTTAACGTCAATAGTTAAATAATTATGAGAGCATAATTTAATAAGCATAGTCCTAGAATTTCAACCACCTCTCCAAGCCACCTGTAAATAGAGCACATTAGGACTATTTAAGTGGCCTTGCTTTGGCCGTGGTTGAATGCCTGGATGCTGTAGAACATGTTTATATTGGATCTGCTGCCCAAAGATGTTTAGAAAGTTCAAGTAGATCCTGGGCCAGATGGTTGCTTTAGATCTGCATCGGTGCCCAGAAGTGGTACAGCCAACATGCCTGGGTCAGGCTGACCAGTTGGACCATGTGCAGAGAGACAAAATATACTGACTCCATTTAACATCCTTCTTTTTACTTCAGCGTTTTCATCACTTTGCCAGAACCTGAAACTGCAGGAAAACTGATTTGATGAAAACTCATTTTCATGTGTTTCTTCTTTTCCCAAATATCCAAATCTCACTAAACCTCTAACAGTGTTCTAGCAGCTTGAGAGAAAAGGGGTAGGGTGAAACAAATATGTCGTGGCTTTGAGTTCAACTTTGATTCTCTAAAGACTTTGCGAAGCCTACTTTGTATAGGTTTGAACTCAGATGGGATGTGGTGGGTTGTTGGAAAAGACAGAATAATGTGTATAGAAAAAAAAAGATGTGGTTGCTGTTTCCACTGCATGCCTGGTTAACACTTACGATGTACCATTATCTTCCTGTCTTCATCTTGGTTTGTGATATATGGTGTGTTAGAATTTCAGTATTGGCCCCACACATGAATTGCTTGACATTGGAGTAAAACTTTGGGGTTCTCACCACGTGAATGTCATTGCTGTATCTTCACATTGACGTCTTGCTCTGCAAAACTGAGACTAGGAATGGGCATTGTAAAAATGTAAAGGAACTTGTTTTTTTGATAGTTTATTGTAAAGCTTTCAAATATACAAGTTTCTCAAGTATAAATGGGAACTGGTGAATAAAGCAAAACGGAACAGGAATAGAAGGAGATTTTTTATATCATATTCCTGAGTCTTCAAAAGTTTTCAGACGCCTGATTTATTTTCAAACTGATCAGGTGAATTCACTTGAATTCAAATGTTGTTGTCCTAATGTCCTATAAACCAAAAACCGGTTACCGTCGAGTCGATTCTGACTCATAGCCACCCTAGAGGACAGAGTAGAATTGCCCCATAGGGTTTCCAAGGAGAGGCTGATTGGATTTGAACTGCTGACCTTTTGGTTAGCAGCTGTATCACTTAACCACTGTGCCACCAGGGATCCTAACGTCCTATACTAAAATAAAATTTAAAATGATTATTGTTGCTGTTAACAGGGCTTTGAACCACTTCATTCCGATTCAAACCCCTGCAGAGAATTTGCAGATGTACTGAATCAGAATCTACATTTTAACAAGATCCCCAGGTGATTCTTATGTATAACTTCCTGAGAACTTGTTAGAAATGCAAATTCTCTGTAGGGGTTTGAACTGGAATGAACTGGTTCAAAGCCCTGTTAACTATAAGTTGGAAGTAGACCCCAGAATAAAACAAAAATCTCTCATTGCATGTATTAATATGTGTCTAAGATCAGGATAACAGAGGAAATTAATTTCCCATTGAGAAATCAGGCTCCCCCCACCCCCTGTAGCTCCGTAGCAGGTTTTTGAAGTTTATTAAATTACCTTGACACAGTCAGGTTAGGAATAGAAGTTGTGCTCATGACTGATTATGACGGAGTGACAAAGAACCATGCACTGGTGAAGAAGGAAGAGAGGGCCCAGAGAAACCTTGGCGCTAAATTTGGAGATGCACTCGTACAGGTACCGGGGTCTGAGGCCATATGAGCCACTGTCTGACAACATGAGGTCTGCTGTGGCAGGTGACTGGAGATGGCAGCCTTGGAGCTCCTTAATGCTATTTAAATCTTTGTGTTGGTGTGCGTGGGCACGAACATTTATGTATACTGATTTCTATAAAATGTATTTATGGAACCACTGACCTGTGGAAATTAAAAACAACTTAGTTACCCAGGTACGACAAGGAGGAGTAATTAGTGTCACAAGTTCTTCTGAGGCTGACTCCATTTAGATTGAGAAGTAAGCTTATTAGCCTTAGGTCATGCTTCTGAGGATGTTTACATGACTGCCTTAGCATCTAATGAAAAAACTGGGGAAAACAGAAAAGGATGAGGAAGAGATCTATATTTGTACTCATTACCTGTTAGACTGGCAGTGGGTTCAGTGGTGAAAATTTAGGCTAGTTGGAAGATTTGGTAATTACGGCCTGTTTTATGGAGGGTTGTTAATATAAAATTGCTGTGTACTTTATCTAAATATGGCAAGAGTTTATACCAGTGGCATAGGCCAGACATACATTCTTCAAGAGTTTTGTCAAAGCAAAATCACATTTATTACAACTGGGAAAACGGCCATCAGGTATGGAATTTGGGGCATGCAAAAAACTCAGTGTTCAACATGGTATTTAGAGAAATGTAGGGGCCAGTGGCATTTTAGGCTTTATTATCTATTTATGCTAGAGTAAATAGCCTGAATAAATGTGCACCTTGACAAAGGTATGCACTGACTTACCAGCTCTGTTCTGGCTAAGTCTTCTGGAGGAACAGAAATAATGTATGGAAATTTCAAAATGTAGAAAACTGTGTTTTCCACAAGTTGTTTTTTCATTTCAAGACCTGAATTTCCCAGATAGAAACTATTTCATAATGTTGATCTATTAAGCAAACAAGAAACATTAAAAACAGCAGGTTTCAGAGGATTGTGGGATTGCTCCCTGGTTTTCAGTTGACACTTGTCTTGAAGTCATTGTCCCCTTAACTCACCAGTTTTTCTCCGAATATTGTGGCAAAAACGTCTCTTCTGCTTACCCCTCCTGGAGATCAGCCAGTACAATTTGTTGTTTTATAGTTATTCCAGTCCCTCCCACTTCCTACCCCATCAAAGAATTAACAGTAAGTGTCAGTAATTAAGACAGCTGGGAGGGGTAATATGAAATGCAAGAAGAGGGTTTGGTTTTGCACTTGTGGGTTCTCAAAACTTTTAAGTGAATTGATATTGGGGAATGGGAAGCACAGTGAAAATTCCATGGACTTCTCATAAGTAATGTCAAGAACCCCTGCAAATAGCCCTGCTTTGTAGTGGCAATAGGTTTACCAGCCCATAGAAGTGTCCTCAGCTGCCCACTTAGTTGGCAATTCCCAGTGTAGACTACGCTCTGACTTCCTCAGGGTGGTATTCCCTGGCTCTGTCTCCCTTCTGGTTACTGCACTCTACAGAGGATACTGTAATGTGGGCAGTGACCTAACTTCACACTGGACTACTTTTTGATGATCATAATGAAGCCATTTAAAAGGGCTTCAAAAGTCCCACGGCCATGCTTCTGTCACTTTGAGAAAAATCATATTAAAAGATCCATCATAATACTAACCAATACTTATTGGAATATTAAGTGTTGGGCACTGCATGAAATGTTTTATATGAGGAAGGTATTATCCAGTTTTTCAGTCAAGGCAAGTGAAGCATAGGTTAAATAATTTGCACTAAGCTAAGTAACCTGTAAGTGACAGAGCTGGACCTCAAACCCAAGTCTGTCCGAGTACAAAGGATGTACCCTTAGCCACTATAGTTCCCTGCCTACCACGTGGCTTTAAGATGTCATGGTGATGGTCTGGGTAAAAAATAAAGA